ACAAGAAGCTACTAGTAACAAGTGCCACGCGAACGTAGTAACAAGTGCCTTACTGGTAGTAACAAGAAGCTACTAGTAACAAGTGCCACGCGAACGTAGTAACAAGTGCCTTACTGGTAGTAACAAGAAGCTACTAGTAACAAGTGCCACGCGAACGTAGTAATCTTTGTTCGAACAAATTGAACACTTCTTCTCATCGATGCCTACCGACTACCATGAATCTGGGTCACCCTGCTAACCACGTTGGCTCTGGCACCATGAAGGCAAAAAGCGCATAGGGGCAAACCCCACGGGCAGTGCTCGCCTCGCTGGGTCAAGACTGACAAAGCAAACAAAGTATGTGGCATGTCTTGGCATAGAGGAACCACAGCATGCTTCATTTCACTCATTTCTTGGCAAGAAGCAACAAAAATGCAAACGTTTTTTGTTGCTGTATTACACACAGGCATTGCCTAACCTTTCTTAACAATCTCTAAAGCTCTAAGCCCTGCTTAGAAACATGTTTCTGCATACAATTGAATGTTGAATTATTGGGGTTTGTATCTTACCAAAAGCTGTGCAGTACTTGAGGTGTTTATTTTGTTCAAAGAACGTTCAAGTTTGGTGAAGTACCAAACCACCAACCCAACCGCCAAATTTGGCCATGTTGAGGCAATGGTCTGAACATGTTCCACTGCCAGCCTTCAGGTTCAAGATTGAGTGGTCATCCTCTTTGCAGCCTCAAAAGCAACACAAAAGACAACGGGAACCGATCCAGAGCAAAATGTTCAGACATTTTCACAGATTCTAAACATTGAAGGGTCTCCTTTATATGGCATGACCAAGTGTTTCATTCTTTCGACTCTGCTTGTAGGAACATTTGTTGTTGAACTCCTTTTTTTCGGCCACAAGATCATTGCCGGAAGAGGGACTGACTGAGTGTGACTTCGCACGGTTGCGAGACGTGCGCTCGGGGCTCGCACGGAGAAGGTGTCGCAGCTCCACGTCCCAAGCCACCCGCCGCGTCGCATCGTGAAGGCACTGCCACAGAGTGCCATAGGCCTAGCGACTGCCGGAGGTCGAGAGGAGAGGTCGAATGAGGTCGAATGTTAAAAGAATGCTTGTGGCAGTCGCAAAATGATGCCTTAGGCCTTTTCCATGCAAGCTTGCATGCTTGACAAAGCACATTTGGATTGACTTCGAACAAAGATCCCTTTTTTTATATGTTGCTGAGACGCTTTTCACGAGTGACCCTTTTGTAAGGTACAAATGTGATGGAATAGATGCAAGAAGTGGAAGAAGCTTGCCTGTAAACTCGATAAAGGCTGGCTTCGAGTGGGCTGAGGGCATTGGCGATTTTTGTCCAATGCCTCCTCAGCACAACACGCCACAGTCCTCTTGAGAGATGGCAGAAACTCTGGGAGTGCTGCAAAGGTCAAAAGTTTTTAACGACATCGAACGACTATGAATAGATCGAACTCTGGGTGCTTGCTCAGATCCTCTTGACTGCCATGGACCCCTAAAGATTGCACGATCAACTTGCCACCAAGGAGCGCCCAAGAGCTTTAAGGCCCCTCTGCTCATGAAAGAACCAAAGCCAGCAGACCTTGCACTGATTTCTAAGTGCAAAACACCAAGGTACAAGGTACAATAAAAGCACAAAAGCGCTCACTTTTGAAAAGTAAGTTTATCAACTACCTGATATTCGGCCCACCTGGTGGAACTAGGCTTAGCATGGCTGAGCTTCTCCATGGGTCCATACTGTGATGAATGGGAACAGGCAAAAAGGGGAACGAACCATGGATGATCACGGATGCATAATGCATCAGTATTAACTCTAATAGCGGTGGCCTCCCACCTACTAGCCTTCTTGTCACTAGTAGTAAGGCCAGGAGCCCCGATCGTACGTAGCGTCCGATCGCTCCGTTCGTAGCGATGGCCTCCAAACATGATCCATCGGATGCGTTGCGCCTGTCTCGGTCCGACATCATCACGGCGTTCTGCGGATTCATGTCCCGGACCAAGTGCCGGATGTTCTCCTGAGGCCGTGGACCAAGTGGACATGGGTTGGGTCTTCGCTCACACATCTACCTGCTAGTCATACCTTGCGACACCTTCCAGTGAATTCAATGTCTGCTAGTCATACCAGCATTTGAGCCTGTGCATTTGTTCTGTTGATGATGCTGATTGTTCTGCAGCTAAGCCCGGATGAGGACTTAGTTCTCAAAGTCTGATGGCTTGGCCTAGCATCTGGGGAAGAACATGACTGGAACTGCAGAGCTGGGATTCGCTGCGGCCGCGCTTCGACAATCGGAAAGCCACCGTCATCAAAGGAGACGAACCAATCATAGTGTTCCACTTCGTTGCCTGAAGCCATAGCCCCCACACAGTCATAGCACACACACAAAAATGGATGAATGTTTGCCCACTGTGAAAGCATCGGGTTCACTTGAACCTCGCAGCTTTCACGTCCTATTCGCTGAATCCCTCCTCAGTAGCAAAACTAGCAACGTTGAAATTGCATGTCAACGGTTGATTGAAAGGATCACCCTTTTTCTCCAAACTTCACATCTCTCACAAGTCAAGAACAAGCCATATAGCAGCTATCTGCGAGAGTACACTCATGTTTACCAGCTGGGAAGGGGAATTGTCTTGAGATGTCGTGAGTAACTAAACTAGAAACAATAAGCTACTAGTAACAAGTGCATCGCTTCTAGTAACAAGTGCCTTACTAGTAGTAACAAGAAGCTATTATCCTTTGCAACTTTGGTTAGGAGGACAAGCCGGACAAGTTCTCCGGTGGAACCTCTTTACCAAGATGTGCCACGTTACGAAAGATGTGTCGCCACAAACGTCTGGTGCGAATCCAGCGGTGGGACAGGCCAGACGGCCTTGGCCTGAGACCGTGAATTTCGTTCTCGTCCGGCTCTGTAGTCTGTTGGCTCAAGCATTGCACGGGGTTCTTGCAGGGAGAAGAGTTGAGGCTCATTGAAGAAATGCGAAAACCATGAACCAAGCACACAATTTCAGAGTTAGGCAATCAAACCCTCTTTCTCAGGTTCTTCTTCCAGTTTCAACAGAATTTCCAACTGAATCAATGCTTCACAGCGCCATGGCCATGCAGTGCCTGAAGTCCAAAGGCTCTGGTTCGCCCAAAGCAGACTGAGCATCCAGGGCCGCGATCTCCTCGCGATTCCTGGAGATCTTTCAAAGAAACACAAAAACAACAAAGAAGCTACGAACGGGGCTCCTGGCATCGCTACGAACGGAGCGATCGGACGCTAGGATCGGGGCTCCTGGCCGTACTAGGAGCGATCGGACGCTACGAACGTAACGGGTCTAAAGGTCATGAGAAACAAGGACACAGTCAGGTCGTAAACTTAAACATATACAGGTTACAGCAGCGTATACAGCTCACGCAAGAGACAAGTAGGGAGACACAACACAGCAGCGAGAGCGGCAATCTTCGGTCAGTGTCTGACTCCATCACTGAGAAGTATGAAGTTTTTTTGCTGCGGCATCTGGGGAACAAAAGGAAAGCTCTTTAGGATAACAAACGATTCCTGCAGACTGACTACTTGGAAAAGAAGGACTCTTCTTGTGGAGCAAAGAGTATTGATGCGAGAGGAAGCTGAGTCCAAGACCTAAAGACTGTCAGGTTTGAGACAGCCATACATACCGTATCATTGGACTCTTTTGGCAACAAACATCTTTAGTAAATTCCGGATCAAAGGTCACTGCCTTCCTCTGCACAACCTGCCAAATCCTCGGACTGAGTTACCCTCACAAACACACCTTCTCTATGCCGGCCCCAGACCGCTTTTCCCAAATCCTTCCGGCTACCAAGACCGCTGAGACTGCTGAAACCGCTATCGTCCAAGCGGCTCATCCCAAAAGATCGCTCCATCGCAGTGCCGGGCCCAAGTGCTCAAGCCATGCTTCAAGTAGCCAGACCGAGCCTGACATGATCGCGGTCGCTGAACCCAGAGAATGAGACGTGGAATGCGACACTTTCTGAGCTTTGAGACGTTTGGGGCAGAGTTAGGAGTACTCCCACTTGGACCCTCTTTGGCACTTCCTTCGAATCCAGCTTGAACCTTCCGTTCCACGTCTGCCCTCCAAAAAGGGGTTGTTACGGAAACTTGAAAAACAGCCCTCAGAAGTGTCAAGCAAAGGTGCATGCTACTTTGGCGACATGTCTCTGGTTCTAGCCCGGGCAATCACAAAGCATTCTGCGAGCGTCTTGCCGCTTGCCACTCTTCTCTTTTTGCAAAAATGACGATGCACACGCCATTGAAGACGTCGTGTGGTTGCCTGAACACCTTGGCCAGGCTCTAGGTGACTTTCAAAACATTGTCATCTGCTCCTTTGGACAAACGCTTGGAATGTGCTTCTGACTTTCGGATGCTTTCCAAAAGCATGTGATCACCTCCAAATGCGAACGAGAGGAACGTTCCCACAAGACATGCAACATCTTGTCAATTACTAGTAGCGATGCCCTTGTTACTAGTAGCTTCTTGCTCCTAGTAGCGATGCCAGGAGCCCCTAGTAGCGTCCTTGCTCCTACTCTTTTCCATTTCTCTCAGAAGTGGAATTCCGCTGGATCGGCTTCGGGCGATCCTTCTCGCTCTCCGCTCATTGGCTCACTAGATGGGCTGGCCGTATTCGCGGCCGCTGCCGGTGGTCTGGTCGAGTTGCGTTGAAGGGGCCGAGCCGTTCTTTCGGTCGCACCTTTTCCCACCAACTCCGGAATTTGGACTCAAAGTTCCGTCTTGAAACACCTTTAATGAGACCTTGACAAACAGGGTAAAAGCAAGATTCTAGTGACTAAATGTGACTAGTGTTATCTTCGTTCAAACTTCACTTTGTCACAGGAAGAAGCATATTATGACTTGCTAGCATTGAATATCTCTGATGTACTTTGAGACATGATTGGAGAAGATATGAGAATATTCAAGACTTCTGCAACCTTTGCCTCTTGAAAGCAGGTCTTGGAAAGGCCCATCTTCTCACTCCAACCAGGTGCTTCACTTTAGAATTCGAGCGAAAACCAAGCTACAGCGACATTCGTTTTTGTGGCCACAGTCACCACCAGTCGTGCCTCGTCAACAAAGCCAGACCATGCAAAAAGAGGGACGTCACCCATGTACTCGAGAAATTCACCTCGGTAGCACTTTAAGACAACTCCTGACTGGTACAAGGCTTCGAAGGTCCCTGCGGCTTACGCATATCTATTCCTCTTAGAAGGGTGAATGAATGCTTCGTTCCAACAGCTTTTGCTTCCGGTTCGTTGCAGTTGGGGCCCACCAATGCCCACGGAGAATGTCCAAGTGGCTGTAGTAAGGCTCGTTCGGCTCTCCGTTGCCCTTCCTCGGAAGTCAAGCAGTGACAAAACATGTCAATCTCCACAAATAGAAAAAGATTCTGTGAGAGATTGGTTCGACCCGGAACTTCAGGGTTTTCGGCACGATGGAAGGTTGAATCTGCAGTGCAAGAATCATCACCTTCGTCAAGGTGTAAGAGCCGAACTCCAAAGGTGTACAAGTACCTTGGCAAGTCCGACGAACATGCGGCGAGGTCAAGCCTGGCACGTGCCCCATGAATTTCTGAAAGGACTCGAGTCTCGGTGTTCATCAAATGGAATGTGGATACCGATGACAGGCATGACAAGCTCTCAGAGGAGGCTGTGACCCACAAAACCGCAGGTATACCCAGTCTTCCGTTAGTATTAGGTTGAGTATCTCCTCAACTTCAAGGGTTGCGAATCAGTATCGAGCTGATGACCGGCTGCAATGGTTTTGGAAACACCCTGTGCACACATTCCTCTTGCAGTCCTATAGATGGGATACGGATAGACCATGTCGCTTGCACTGTCTCTTCGGCCACTCAAATGTAACACGAACAATGCCCTTTCAGACTATTTCTTCGCAGAGCCAACGGAAACACCCTTGGAGTTTCTGTCCGGTCTTCGAACAATCTGGGAGTTTCTGTGCTGCGCAGATGTTTCCTGGCCTTTTTCGCATCGGAATGGGCGAACTACTCCATCAACCTAAAATCAACAGCGGGTCTCGGTCGCTGAGAGATCAGTGAAAACGGTCGCTTCTTCAGTGGAGGCCATTCTTCCACTTCCGAGACCGAAGAAGCAGCCGAGGTGCCCAAACCCCACCAAATGCCACGCTTCCAGCGAGAGCCGGGCTCGGAGCTCTCTGAGGACAAGAGCTCCATGGTGAACTTTCCACCTAAGAAGTGGTCGTAGGTCTACCTACTTAGTACCTACAGTCTTAGTACTGACTTAGTACAGTCTTAGTACTGACAGTAGTACTAGGTCCCCACATGGCTCAGACTTTAATGTTGGATGATGTTGGCAATTTCATCTCCAGAATCCTTTTTGAAGACAGAAACATCGCTCCTTCATACATCTCCGAGGGCTTCCTGTTCACGACACCATCTGCCAGGTCACGGATACAGGCACAGCACGGACAGATCGGCAGAAAGGTCCCCAAGTCCACAATATCCTCGGATGTGGTTGCTGTGTTTTTGTATTATGAACATGATACCACGATGCCGTATCCAACCATGGCGTGCTCCGTTCTCCCAACACCTTTGGGTGACCCCGATTGATCACATGTTTTCCCCTCTTTGCGGCCCAATGGGCATCACGCACATCTGCGTTGTGGCCCTGCAAAGTGCCATTCTTCACCGGAAGACCTGAGGGAGTGGAGTCACTGGAGTCAGTCTGAGCGTTTTCTGACGCACAAACAGCAGATCTGCTTTTTCAACTGCTGCTAGTTGGCTAGTGCTTGACTTAGGCCTAGGGGCCTAGGCCTCAACAATGACGACAGCAGCAACAACCATTCCAACCACTTCTTTTCGAATCATAAAGGAACACAACATTCCCAATTAAGGCCTTATTACAACATTAATCTACATCTTGCTAATTATGTTTGCTTGCTGGACTTTTGCAGAACAAGGACACGAGGCTAAGACTGCCAAGCTGCTATCGAAGACCATGGACAAATTTCCAGGGGCAGGACCAGGGTTAGGAGGGGGTTTGCCAGTGCCGAGCAGTGTACCTTAGCAGGACACCAGTGTCCCAGGCAGCTTGAGACTTACTTGGCATCTTTGATGTGTCACACGCAAAATAGAGCAGTGTATTCGTTTCCGAGCTCATTCATTCTCAGCAGTTGCAGCTGCTGGCAAAGTGCGCGCCCCACTCACAGTGGTCTGGGGCCCATACCTCAGCATCGGACACTTGCAAGTTCTTAAATGATGCGGCTCAGTCTTCTGACTTGTTGTATGACTGTCCTTTTTGCATGCATCATGTAATCACATGCACAAGCTGAGAAGCTGGAAATCAATGGCTGTGGCACAAAATAGTAACATCCGGGTTCTGTTGGTTGCGGTCGGTTTGTTGGCTCTCGATTCAATCTCAATTCCCAACAACCGGTTCAACATGGCATCTTGCAAACAAGGTTCGGGGTTAAGCTTCTTGTATTATACAGTATATGCACCATGCATATAGATGCATAAGAAGTTGCAATTCAGGTGGTTGGATCAACAAACATCTCATGACCAGCCAGCCCACGCAACAACCGCAACAAGCATGGCTGTTTGTGGCTCTTTGACTGTTGCACCCCCCCAACAATACATCCCCAAAACCTAAAGAGATGTTCCTGGTTCTGCAGGTTCGGGGTCCCTCCTCCATCCGGTCCTGGGTCCTCTGCTACCCTACTGGCGGCCTCCAACAGTCTAAGAAGTCCAAGGTGCATGGTTCCACCAAAGGGTGCATTCTTTGGAGTCCCAAAGGGCCAAGCCCACATGAACGTCGCCATGGGGATCAGCAAGAGCTTCTCCTGGCTTCGTCGACACCCGGAAGGATGTCGGCCATTTCCGTACAAAGTCTCTGCTTGGACATCAATCAATGCATCTGGAAATACGTCAAAGCAGCTTGCTTTGGAATGAGATGATCGATTTGCTTCCGCTTTCAAGAGACCATTGGAGGGTCCATGGAAAGCCCGTGGTCGCGAATGTGTTTTCTCGAACGAAAAGGTACAAACTCTCACCTGACCCGAGACGTTCCGCGAGGCAAGGTTTCTGGTCGCCTCTTCGTACCATTTGGCCCAATGAATCACCACCAGCTCCTCTCCTTGGGCAACGCCCTTTGTTACTAATAGCGTCCATGTTGGCAATAGCTTCGTCTGGATCTTTGGCCCTTTCTTTGTTCATTTCCACTCCTTCTTCCTTCTCTTTTTTGTCACAAAGATCTGCTTTGAAGATTTGGGATTTGAAATCTAGCTCATCTTCAAGAGCATCTTTTCTCGCTTTGCAAAAGCAGGAGAACTTCACTTGCTTCAGTTATTCAATGCTATTCTTCAGCTTCTTTGGCTAGACATCATTGTTGCCGAGACTGCAAATGTGTGAGGTGTGCCATATCTGGCCAGCGTGCAGTCGAGAGGCCTACGCCATTGTCTTTCATCCAATAGACTCCTGAAAGCAGCTCCATCTTTGCGTGAAAGACTCTGGGAGGCCATCTGAGGAGCCAACGTAGACACTTGCATCAAATAACCAAAGAACCAAAGGAAAATATAAGAAGGTGTTTGGGCCTCTTCAACAACTTAAATGGGGCCTGATCAAAGAGGTCCAAGTCCACACTTTTCCCGAATGCGTAGCGAAGGGTTCTCGTTTAACTCTGGGGGTCTGGGGGTAGAGTCTTGTTCGCGATCCGTTGTTTCTATGTTCGCAACCGTCCGCAACCGTCCGCAACCGTCCGCAACCGTCCGCAACCGTTCGCAACCGTTCGCAACCGTTCGCAGTAGGACGCTAAGGCGCTGCCATTGGGGGGAAGCTTTTGCAAGTGACTTTTCATGGATGTGTCACGTGTCAGTTTGCGACGCTATTCCATTGTGATTTGCATGAAAATGACATGTCGCGCAAGAAACGTGATGCATTTCGCTGCACAGGCGCAGTGGTTTGAGAGATCCGCAGTTTACTGCGCAGTTCCATTGGGATTAGCGTTTGGAGAATCGTGTTTTTGGGGTGTTGGATGTGGCCGTGCCATTGGGATTTGCATTTCAGGGTGTGGCCTCGAAGCTCTGTTTTCGTGACAAGTCTCAGCTGAAATGGCGATTTTGGTGGATGGGAGTGTGCTCAGAACGGGTCGAAATCATTCTAAACGTGTGGTGTGGTGCAAATTTTGTTGAAGCTCATGTGAGATGATATTCTCACTTTTCGTGGCAGGCACAGTACTTTGTGCTGATTTTGAGGTGTGGAAGTGCGATTTTCGTGGCAGGCGCAGGAAATCGTGAGGTTGCGAGGTGTGACGGAGGTGTGACGGAGGTGACATTTCGTGGCAGGCGCAGTACTTTGTGCGCGTTAGACGTGTGGATGCGGAAAGATTCGTGGCAGGCGCAGGGAATCGCGAGGTCGTGAGTTATGGTAGAGGTGAATGTCGCTGTCACATTGGGATTGGCGTGTGAGCGGGTGTCGTTTGGAGGGGCTGGAATCGCGAAATTGCTAGGCAGGGCTGCGTGATGTGTGTGCTCCGATGGGTGTTTCCGCTGGACTTTTGGAGGAAGTCTCGTACGAAACGCTCGTTTTGGAGACTTGACGTGTGACTTTTGGAGGAAGTCTCGTGCGAAACGCTCGTTTTTGAGACTTGACGCGTGACTTTTGGAGGAAGTCTCGTACGAAACGCTCGTCTTGCAGCCTCGCAGCGTGACTTTTGGAGGAAGTCTCGTACGAAACGCTCGTTTTGGAGACTCGACGTGTGACTTTTGGAGGAAGTCTCGTACGAAACGCTCGTCTTGCAGCCTCGAAGCGTGACTTTTGGAGGAAGTCTCGTACGAAACGCTCGCGTGACTGCTTCTAGTGTGTGGGCAGACCGTGTCGCGACACGAGTGTCCCACAAGAGTGTCCCACAAGAGTGTTCCACAAGAGTGTCCCGCAACCGTGTCCCACAAGAGTGTCTCACAAGAGTGTCCCTTAAGAGTGTCCCACAAGAGTGTCCTATAAGAGTGCCCCACAAGAGTGTCCTACAAGAGTGTCCCACAAGAGTTTCCTACAAGAGTGTCACACAAGAGTGTCCCACAAGAGTGTCCCACAAGAGTGTCCTACAAGAGTGTCCTACAAGAGTGTCCCACAAGAGTGTCCTGTAAGAGTGACCCACAAGAGTGTCCTACAAGAGTGTGTCACAAGACTGTCCCACAAGAATGTCCGACAAGAGTGTCCCATAAGAGTGACCCACAAGAGTGCTTTTGAGAGTGTCCCACAAAGAGTGTCCTACAAGAGTGTCGTGTAAGAGTGACCCACAAGAGTGTCCTACAAGAGTGTCTCGCAAGAGAGTGTCCCATAAGAGTGACACACAAGAGTGCCCCACAAGAGTGTCCCGCAAGAGTGTCCTACAAGAGAGTCCCAAAACAGTCCCCCCC